GTGCTGGGAGGAGGAGGAGGCGGGGGCGGCGGCGGCGGCGGCTACACAAGAGGCGGCAGCGCCAGCGCCGCCCCTCCTCGACACGTAACTGCACGCCTGGCCGGAGCCGCCCTGGAGGGGAAGAAAGGGCGCGCCGAGCGAGAGCGGCTGGTTTTCATTATCTCTCCGCCTTTGCTGCTGCTGGTGCTGCTGCGAGGCCCGACGGCATCTGCCGACCTCTAGCTCGAAGTACTGTCCCGAAGTCCCCGCCTAAACAGGTCTCGTCTCGTCATCACCCAAAAGCTCTGTTCACACGTTTCGGGGCGCTTCGACCGCGTACCTTTGCTAAATGGAAAGCGCTTGGTAAGCATGAGGTGCCTCGTATGCGAAGAACTGGGTCTGATGGCAAAGCGTGGTATTTATTGGATGGGATCTCCAAGATCCCTTTGTGTTGGAATATCCTATAAAAACGAATGGTTCACTTACACCTGATTAAGACAGTTTCCATTCAGGCGCGGGTGCTTTTAAATCTCACTCAAGAGTGAGAGATGTGTGAACTGGCCCGATTTTTTGGAAAGTTCTGAGGTGTGTTTCCCAGTGGAATGATTGAAAACAAGGCAACATATTACTGGGGAGCTGTTGAAGTGATCAGTACACAAAGTAACCACCCATTCTTCTTATGACACTGTGTAAACCAGCATAATTTTTCCAGATGTTTTGGACTACAAGTCCCATCAGTTCTAGTTAGCAGGTAAGGGAATATGCGAGTGGTAGGCGGCAGCATCTGGAAGCTCCCAGGTTTGACAACAACGGTGTAGGCCAGTGATGGTGAACCTATGGCAAAGTGGTAGAAGGCAGCATTTGGAGGCTCCCAGGTGTGACAACAATGGTGTAGGCCAGTGATGGTGAATGAAGGGCACTGTAGTTTTTGATGACGCAAACCATGTCGCCATCGAGAAATACCGGCTCTCCAATCTCAGATTTCAGTGCTTCCCTCTGCTGGTGCAGTGGTCCAGCAGAGGGGTGCAATTACCAGTCTAGCCTGACAGATTGGGGGGAAAAAACACAAGCATTTAAACCTTGAAGTGCAGGGGCAGTTGTTTTTCTGACAACCTGCAGGAAATAGATGACGTGCACAAGACAGCTGTCATCGACATGGAACTGAGTGAGCTACAGATGGATATTGTTGCCCTGCAAGAGACGAGATTGCCAGACTCTGGATCTGTCAAAGAAAACATTTTCTTATTCTTCTGGCAGGGAAAGCAAGACTTGCGATCAGAGAAAAGTGGAGGAATTTGCTCAAGTGCATGAGGAAACTCTTCTAGGCCCGGCTGGTGCAAATGCACCTGAATGATGGGAACATTTAAAGAATGCTGTTTATAACTCCGCCTTGTCCACATTTGGCAAGAAGATCAAAAAGACAGCAGACTGGTTTGAAGCCAATTTGGAGGATGCCAGCCATCAAGGAAAAGAGGGAGCTCTAGCAGCTATCGGCGGATAGCCCAGCTGCGACCCTACCTTGATGTGGGGGCTCTCAACACTTTGGTACACGCGCTTGTAATCTCAAGATTAGACCACTGCAATGTGCTCTACGTGGGGCTACCTTTGAGGCTGCTGCGGAAACTACAGGTGGTGCAGAATGCTGCGGCCAGATTACTCAGTGGAGTGAGAAGATACCAACATATCTCGCCCATTCTGGCCGCATTGCATTGGCTGCCCATCCGATTCCGCATCAACTTCAAAGTGTTGATGCTTACTTACAAAGCCCTAAACGGTTTAGGACCTCAATATTTGGTGGAACGCTGCTACTGGCCCAGGTTTAAAGTTTTGTCACAAGTACAGGAAGCCCTAAACAACCTGGGATGTGTTTACTTATATTCTCCCTTATAGGCTTGTTTGGTGGTGATGTGCCAAATGTTCATGAGATCTGCTTCTCAGTTGTCCAGCACAGGGAATTTAGCATGATATCTCTCATTACATGAAACAAGCATCCCATGGTTATTAGACACACATCAACAATTCTGTATTTTAAGCATATGCAGAAGATACACATATTTATATCAAATGTATGTTACCATGTATTTTTTTCTTACACAGAATGTAGATGCTGTACATTGATTTTATATCATATGTTTCATTATTAGCATAGTGACTCTGCAAGTGGGGTCTGAAGGCCTTAGGAATGGAACTCAACAGATGGGAAACTTTGACATCTGAACATTCAGCCTGGAGACAGGTGGTGCCGCGTGGCCTCTCCCATTTTGAAGAGGCACTTATTCAGCAGGCTGAGGCAAAGAGGCAGTCCCAGAACCAGCAAAATCAGGGAGCTGGACAGGGGACAGATTGGATTTGTCTTCAGTGTGGAAGGGATTATCACTCTCAAATTAGCCTTCTCAGACACACTAGACACTGTTCTGAGACCTCTATTTAGAGCACGTTACCATAGTCTCTCAAGACTGAAGGATGCCTACAGGCAGAGGCAATTGTTTTTAAATAAGTTGGTTTTGTGTCACAGCTTGGGCACACGGCCTAAAAAAGGTTTGCCATCACTGGTTTAGGCTGATGGCCCCAAAGTATATATCTGGATAATGTATTCTCACAACACTGCTATAATATTAAGCAGTGGACTGAATTTGATGAAGAGATGATAATTGTGTGCTATTGAGAATTGTGACTTATTGTGACTCTTTTCTAGTGGTTTCTTGGTATTCAAAAGTGGTTTATCATTCCCTTCTTCTGGGGGCATCCTGTGAATGTGCAGCTTGCCCAAGGCTACACAGGCCAGTTTTTCTGGGATGCGCAGTGGAAAATTGGACTCCTAACCTCTGGTTCCTCAACCAGATACCCAATCACTGAGGTATAATGCCAGCTATGGCAATATTATAATAATAATTGTGTGCAGTCAAGTCAATTCTGATTTATGGCAACCCCTTCCAGAGTTTCTAGGTATAGAGTACTCAGAAGTGGTTTACCCTTCCCTTTCTCTGGGAGCATCCTGGGATTGTGCAACTTGCCCAAGGCCACACAGGCTGGCGCTTCTGGCATGTACAATGAGGAACTGGACTCCCAACCTCTACCTAACTCATTGAGCCAGGTATCAGAGAAGCAGTCCACAAAATTCTCATGGGGGTAAGTAGGAAGGATGCAAATGGACTGATCTGGACTGCTTGCAAAGCGGTTTGAGCATGGAGGGTGAATAAAACTAGAGTAAAGGGCAACCAGTGGTCAACAGAGGACAAGCTTGACTTAGAGCAGGGCTGCAAACCTGGCTAACTCACAAGAATGGCAAAAGATCAAAATTTAACAGAGACCTTAGTTTATGGACCAGAGCAGATGGTTGGTCCCTCTGGAATGATTAGATAGGACACTCTTTTGGGGACAACTCATGATCCTAATTTAAGTGTTAGCCATGTGAGCTGTCAGCAATAAATAACTTTTTCTGAAAACAGGAGGAAGGAGAAATAGCCAAAATAAATACTCATGTTCGATCTTTTTAAGTTTCACATTTTGCCTAATCAGGAATGAAAGGAGCTCAAATAGATCAGAAACACTTAATTCTGAGCAGGAGAAAAGCATGAAAATGAAAGATAACTGGATTCCATAACAATACAGTACTTATTTCAGGATGTTGCCAATTTACCTGCATCCCTAAATTCACAAAAAAGCAGCAAAGCTGAAGTACAAAAATGTCTTGAAAAATGTCTTGACTAATAATGAAAAGTACTGTACCTTCACCTTCAAGGACAAGCGCAAATTTTCATTAACTTGGTTATCATAATGTTGGACATAACAGAGCACACATCTAAACCTGTCAGCTGCTGACCAGCCATAGCTCCCTAGAGAGTTTCAGGAAGGGGCCCTTCTAATCCCAAACCACATGCTCTCTTAGTGAGCTACAGTACAGCGTTTCCTCTCTGTTCATACGACACCCAGGTCTTTGCCCCAAACACTCTCCTACCAGCTTCAACCACCCACTTGACATTTTTATTTTGATCAAGCAGATGTTGTAGTTGGATATGTTAAACATGCTTGAGTAACAGATTTAGAAGTGTTGAAAAAAGAGAGCTCTTAAAGGCCAGTCCGACTACTTGGAAGTGAACGCCTTAAACATAGCTGCAGTCGTTTGATTCAAGTCTTGATATGGACAGCCTCTTTCTTGTTTTTTTTAAAAATGACATCAAATTTAGATTAGGCTGATTAGGAGTAGGTTTTTAATTAATAGAGTATATTGTTTTCAAGCTGTAATACAGCGTCTTGCATCTCTTAGCAGAATGACCAGATTTTTTTTTTAAAAGGCATCTGACTACTATGTCAAAAGCCTTTTGGAATTGGCTCCCAGTCAAGCTGTTCCTGGCCCCCTCCCTGCCTACCTTTAAGAGGTTACTCAAAATGCGCAATCTCACATGAACTTGCCTTGCCTGGCTTGTCCAATTATGGGTTGATGTTCTCTGTCTTGCGATGCTGGAGCTGATTTGTTTTATTCTTTTATTTTTATTATCATAGTTTCTGTTTGGTTTATTGTCTTTAGGGGAGGGTTTGGCCTTATTGTTAACCGTCCAAAATAGTGCTTTGCTTTGCACTAATTGGGCAATATACTCTCTCTCTCTCTCTCTCTCTCTCTCTCTCTCTCTGTGTGTGTGTGTGTGTGTGTATAACAAACTGATTTTGAATCAATGAAACAGATGTTGAAATGCAAAAGAATAATACTTTAGAGCAGCATTTGTATGTGTTATGGCCATCTAGTCCTTTCAGTTTAGCAATCCTAGAAAATTAATTACTCCAAAAGGTCCTATCATTAGCAGCCCCACTTGGGTCTCACAAACGAAGAGCCCTGGCTTCCTTTTTGTTAACATGCTACTGTCTGTTCTACAGAGTCTTCTCATATGTCTAAAATATAATACCCTTACCTTAATCATGTGAACTTCTAGTGAGCTGGTTTTGATTTATAACCCAGTTATTTGTCTTTTTGAAACAAAGAATGTTGACTGGAGGCACAACATGCAATATAAAGGAGAGAAACGCATCCAAATATTATTTATTTATTTATTATTTAGACTTTTACTGTAAGTTTGTTCATGTAACAGGAAGCCAAAGTTTCCAGTTGCAGTGAGACCAGAACATCTGATTCCTGTTGTGAACACGTCAGTTTTTTTCCTGACAGCCTTCTTCACTGTCCAGCTTTCACACCTATACATATTGATTGGAAATACTGTGAAACCTGGAAGCAGGAGGAAGGATTTGGGTGGTGAGATGGGTTGCGATCCCAAAGAGGCACAAATTGGTGAAGGGACCTCGCAAAATTGAGAAGTTTGACACAAATGCAGAATTGGTGGCGCAGTGGTACTATTGCACATTAAGTCAAGAAAAACTAATCAGGCCTATAGTGGCTTCTGAGCTTGGCAGGTTATATAACAAAGATGCAATCATTGAATTTTTGCTCGATAAATCTTCTGATAAAGTCCTTGTGGAGGCCGCATCCCACACCAAGAGTATGAAGAATGTCATTGAATTGAATCTCACAGACAATCGAGCTTGGACTGGTGACAAGAGGGAATACAAAAGTGGACAAATATGATGACATCCAGAGTGCCCATTTTCTTTGCCCTGTAGTTGGGTTGGAAATGAACGGAAGGCATCGGTTTTGCTTTCTTCGGAACTGTGGATGTGTATGCTCTGAATGTGCTCTCAAAGAAATTAAAACTGAAATGTGTCTCAAGGGACACCCAAGATGGACAGGTCATAGTGGAGAGTTCTGAGTAAGCGCGATCCACCTGGACCGGGTAGGGGGGGCTTGTCAGCCATGGAAGGCAGCCCATCTAGGAGAAGGAAACCTCCAATTTCAAACCTCCACTGCTTTGTGGCTATATCCACTGATGGAAAAGGCTTCAGGAGTTAACCTCGAGGCAAAATCCGGAGCCGGAGTCCTGAAGGCAGGTTGTGTTGTTCTCACAACTCCTGCGCCGTTGCTGGAACCAGTTGTATTCGCTCTTGCCTTTCCATTGGACTATTTCAGTGACATGGATAGGGGGGGATTTGCTGTTTGGGTAACAGCCTGTCCTCCATATTATTCTACCCAGGCTTAGTGCTCTGGAGAGGACACTCATACAGAGCGCGTTACCATGGTCTTTTGAGACTGAAGGATGCCGAAGAAGTCATTATTGATTGATTTGATTTACACCCCACTTTCCTCCCAACACTAAGACTTAAGGTAGCTTTGAAATAAATATCCAGATAAGTGTTAGTTGAAGAATCCAGCAAAATAATGTTCTGGCACCCTCAGGACTAACAAGTGCATTGTGCCACTAGATCTTGTCGGCCAGAGTCCCAAATTCTCAAGTTGTTGGATGCACGAAGAAGGAAGTATGTGTGCGTTTGCATATACAGTACATGTTTACACACTACACGCTCCTTTGCCCATTAGGTATGGTGGTCCAACTGTTTCTAGTCAGAGAGAAATAAAGAGGCTGCTGGATACAAAGAGATTAAAAGTCTGACCAAACTTTTTCAGTTCTTAGCACCAGCTGGGAGTGGCTTTAATTAATGCAACTCCCATCCTCCAGAGTGATGATGGATTTAGCAGGAATGGTGGCATGGGAACAGCTGTCCTCAGTAACAGCTCCAGAGTAAATAATTATCACTGTTATCCAAGAGTTGCATCCAAGAGTTGTTGGAAATGCATCCAAGAGTTGTTACAATAAACAGTGCATGTGCTAGTATAAACTGATACCTTTGCTATAGCGGGGCATTTCTGTATTTTTCTAATGAGCCAACAGTTTGCTTCCAACACACCAGTAGGATTTCCTCTTTTCCTCCCCCTCCCCACCCGGTCCCCTTGGGAGTCTGCTGAGTGCTGCTGAATGGAGACGGTTGTGTATATATTATTCATGCCTCTCCGAAACACAAAGGTGGGAGCAGAACGCTTGTGCAGAACACATACAACAAGCATTCCTCTCTCTCTCTCTCTGTCTTTGTCAGCAGGGATGGAAGAGATTTTTGGGGAATGTTTGGACAGCCGTTCATGCTCCGCCTTCTTTAACCCTGACAAAAGCTAACCCTGATAAAATCTTTAACCCTGATAAAATCCTTGCTTCCAGCTGAAGCAAAAGACTGAACCTATTTTTCCCCTTTCATTCCTTGCTCTGCTTTTCTCTTCTCCCTCTCCATTTGCAGCCTTACCCACCCCTGAAAGCTCGTTTGGAAGCTCTTTCAGAGTAGGGCCCTAAAACACCTCCCCACAAACACACGCTGGTACAGTCCTGCTGAAGTGGTGTTTAATCCACGAAAGCGTGGTTTCACTGGATGATGATTTTTTGGTGGTCTATAAAGGTATTGCCCATTTTTGCATTTGGATTTTATTTTGCTCGGACTGCACGGCTGCCCTTCAATGACGCTGCTCTGTAAAACGCTTTACTGTATAAATGGATGGAGCTGCGTAAGCTCACATTTATTAATTAAATATATACTGTACTTTAAAAAAATCATAGCCATGCGATTTGTTCTTGTCACTCCTGTTGTTACTTTGATGAATGTCAGGCAACCATTCAGCCATACTACCCTTGCTTAACGTGCTTTTAGTACCTTCTAGGTTGGTCAGTGTGCTAGTGATTGGGAACAGCTGCCTGTGAGACCTTTCTCCTAACAGGGAGAAACAAAATTTTTAGTTGCTTGCTTACCAACCTTTAGTTGCTTGCTTACCAACCTTGCAAACCAACCTTGCAAGGTAGAAAATACAAAGCAATCACAAAATACTCAAAACTTTCAAGTGCAACGCACCGTTTCTTTAGTACCACTCCCCCCCCCGTCTGTCTGAGTAAACGCGCAGCTGTAAAAAAAATACTTTTATTGAAGGAATTTCAAAAGAATATTCTGATTTAAAAGCTCAAAGATTCTAAAAGAATAATAATAGCCACCTAGAGTGGTCTTAACCGACCAGATAGGCGGGATATAAAATAAACAAATAAACAAATAAACAAATAAGTAAATAAATAAATAAAGCGTTGCAGTTTCATGGTGAAGGCAAAATGCAAATCATGTAGAGACTCAGGCAGTTAATAGACTTACAGAAAACAAGAAAGTTAACTATCTTGTTCTATACTTACAAAGTAACATGGTTCCAGTGCATACACAGAGTTCAGCATAATGTCAGGCTTGGATTACATATTTAAGTGACCAAAAGCTGCTGCTTGAGGGAACCGTTGTTCATCATCTCCTCATTAGATGGACCCATCCTTTCTACCAATCAGATGGTGTCTTTTCTGAACTAATTAGTAACTTCTGCAAAAGTAACTAATCAGATAGCACAGCTGCCACTGATTTGTGTAACATGGGAATCCAAGGAAGCTCTGCCTCTCACAAGTCTCCTCACTCTTCAAGGTTACAGATAACACCAGCTGAGGCAGGTGGGCTAATTGGAAGGTATATTCTTTCTCCCATCTATAACTGATTTCAGCTTTTTACCAACTTGACAGAGTAAATTAACCTCTTCCTTGCTGGTTTCCTTACAGTTACAGGCCGTCAAGTTGCCTCTGACTTATGGTGACCCTATGAATAAGAGATCTCCGAAACATCCTGTCTTCATCTGCCTTGCATAGCTCCTGTAAACTTCTTACATGGACTTCAAATTCATCAGAAATGTTGTTTAAATTATATTTTGGCATTATAATTCTTGTGTTCTTTTTCAGCTCTACTCCGACGTTGAATATTAACAGTTCATGATGAGTACCACAATCCACTTCACTCCTGATCTTGTTTTGACAGACAGAATACAGCTTCTCCATCTCCTGCTTCCAATTACATAGTCTGTAATGTGATGTCCAGATGAACAACCTTCTGTTCAGTTGCTTGAAGGATGTGTTTGTATAATAAAGAGACTGTTGGCTTTGTAGAATGCAACAAGTTGTTCTCCTGCATTATTTCTGCCCCCCAGGGCAATTTTTTCAACAGCATTTGGTTCTGCTTCATTCCCTAATTTTGTGTTCTAGTCATCAATAATTTTTTTAAAAATATATTTTATTGGTTTTTCAATCTATCTTCATTCGGTTCATGCTTATCAAACATTGTGTTACCTGGGTTGCCTACAATTATTTGTTTTTTGCATCTTGGTGTCTTCCCAATTGTCCCTCCAAATTCCACACATCCTCTGATCATTTAAACCGTTCATGTATGTATTTTAGTATACAGTATTGGCTATTATCATAATATTACTCTCATAGTATACAATGTTTTCAAAATCCTCTAATAAAATACTTTTGAAAAGTCATTCCAGTTACAAATCTATATAATTTGAGGTAATTTAACAGATAAACTTTGTAATTTATACCAATGATAACTGAGTAAGTTCTTAACACATAATAGATATTATCTAGAGCATCTTATACAGATTTTCTTTCTATAGTTGTTTAGCCATTTCTATCTCCACATTTTCTATCCTGCCTATAACAATATCATATCTAATGCATGTTCATTATGTACTATTTGTTTACCCCAAACTTATATCTAGCTTCAATTTACCTTAAAAAAAACATATTATGCCTTTACCCTGATTAGTGCTCCCTTATTTCAGTTTAATTCTCTCTCTCTTTTTAAATATATAAGATATGCCCCTTTGCAATTCCAGATGTTAGGTATATACATGCTTTCCAATATTGAAGGTCATCTTCCTGTTTTTCCCTTTTTCAACTTTCTGTGTAACTCCTTCTCTTAATATTTTTTCAGTTTTTGTTTCTTTCTAAACATTCTGCCATCTTTTGGGTCCTCTGAGGCCATTTTATGCATTTGATTATCTCCAATAGATCTTTATACACTTGGTCTATCTCCAATAGATCTTCCAGGTTATTTTTAATTGATTTTGCTTCTTTTCTCCTCTTAAGTTCCTTGGGCAACTCCAACAAAACCATGGTTGGAGATACAACATAAAACCAACAGGAAAGAGAAACAAAACCACAATGTGTAAAACCAGCAGCAAAATAGGAAAGAGCTGAGATCTAAAAGCACTAAGAATGATTCTTAAGATACTTGGGAGAGTAAAAACGTCTTCTTTACCTGGTACCAGAAAAAGTATAGCGTAGGTACATTTGGAAGAGGCACCTGGAAGAGAGCTGCATATGATAATCTTAGGTAGGTATGGGAAGAGATATTATTTCAGAAACTCAATTCCAAGCTCTTTAGAGCTTTAAAGGTTTGTTTTTTTAAGACCAAGATTTTTAATGGGTCCCAGAAATCCAAGAGCAGCAGTGTAGATGGCAAAGTAGAGGCATAATACAGTCCTATCAACCAGTTCTGGTTAAATGTATATTTTGGACCAGTAGAAGTTTCCAGACTGTTTTCAAAGGCTGGCTAATTTATAACCCATCAAGAGGTTGCCAGAACACAAATAATGGTTGCAAAGCTATTTCTGTCCGATGTTGGTATACCAGCTTAAACTGATTGTGCATGGAACTGCAGTCGTATTTTGTTTACTTGCTTATATTTGTCTCTCAGCCTTCTTCCAAGGGTGGCTATTTTCAGTCTCTCCATATCAAGCATAAGACATCACTGAATGTTGCAGCTCAAAACTGAACTGGATCTAAGATTGAAGGTTAGAGGTTCAGCGTTGTGGGCTCAACAGCCAATTTGCAGGTGTCAAAGATAATCACTTTGCCCTAAATCTAATTGCTAGCCCCAATTAGAGTAAAACCATTAAATCAGTTGCTGAATGGTAAATTCATTTAGGCATCCTTCAGTCTCGAAAGACTATGGTAGCGTGCTCTGTATGGAGGGCTTGGAACAGCGCCTAGTGTGGCTGAGAAGGCCAATTCGAGAGTGACAGACCCTTCCACACTGAAGACAAACCCAGTCTGTCCCCTGTCCGGCTCCCTGGTTTTGCTGCTTATGTGACTTCCTCTTTGCCTCGGCCTGCTGGGCAAGAGTCTCTTCAAATTGGGAGAGGCCGTGATGCACTGCCTGCCTCCAGGCTGAACGGTCAGATGTCAGGGTTTCCCATCTGTTGAGGTCTATTCCTAAGGCCTTCAGATCTCGCTTGCAGATGTCCTTGTATCGCAGTTGTGGTCTCCCTCTGGGGCGCTTTCCCTGCACTAATTCTCCATAGAGGAGATCCTTTGGAATCCGACCATCAGCCATTCTCACGATGTGCCCAAGCCAACGTAGGCGTCGCTGTTTCAGTAATGTATTCATGCTGAAAATTCCAGCTTGTTCTAGGACTGCTCTGTTTGGAACTTTGTCCTGCCAGGTGATGCCAAAAATCCGTCGGAGGCAACGCATATGGAAGGTGTTCAGCTTCCTCTCCTGCAAACAAACAAAAAAACAACCGGAAGGTAAAGGAAGCCCGTCTGGAAGGAAGGCTATAAACAGATAAGAAATGAAAGCCAGATACAGAAGAGAAATTTGGAGGGCTCAGGCAATGGCTGGTTACATGACATGTAGCCTACCTGGGTTAGTAAATAATCCAAAGTAGCCATCTAGGGTGCATCTGATCAACAAATAAATGTGGCACTGAGGCACTAAAACAAAGCTGTAAAGATCCAGCCAAGGGACTCAATCCTAAACAATCAGTCATTTCCTTCTAGGTCTTAAAGTGGAGGCAAACTTCCCTGCCTAGCTGGTTCTCTGAGATCTAGAGAATCATCGCTCTACCAGTCTTGCCAGCTTCTTGCAGAACACATACATCAACCTGCATCTTTGGGAACAAAAGGATTCTTAGAAGGGGGATGCACTTGTTATACTTTCACATCCCCACTCCCCCCCTGGAAATTCAAAGGTCCAAGAGCACCCTTTCATAAAAGAAATAGTATTGAGAAGTCCTTGCATGGAAGGCATTCAGGGTACACTTCCAGGCATTTTTCTTTAACACAGAGTGCAACTACATAGGGAAAATGCAGATCGGATTCTCCACCCCCAGGTGAATTTGCTTTAGCCAACCACAAAGAAAGAGGAAAAAATTGGCAATCAGCCTTGTTTGTAGCTTGTTAGGGTTGTTCTGTTGTGGCCATTCAGATTTGCAGGAGGCATTGTTACATCAGGGCTACCTTAACAAACTTGCAACAAGGCATATTGATAATTTCCTCCTCCTCTTCTGCTCACTCCTTGCTCTTTCTCCCCATCCCCCTTGGTCACCTAGGAGCCCTAATACAGTGGCAACAATTCTTAAAAGAAAAAGGGAAATGGAATGAAACTGAACCAGAAGAGAAGAGGAAAACACACAGACCCAGAAACCGGATTTGGGGAGGAAAGGATTCAAAGAGCATGCTTCCCCACGTGTGCTGCAGATTGGTGGAATGACCTAGACCAGTTATAAACCCCTCTGCATCAGCTCAAGGAATTACATTTCTGAACCAATGCAAATGTGTTCACTAACAAAACAAAACAAACAAGCAAGCAAAAAGGAAAAGCCTCAATGGTGGAAGAAAACAATTGGATTGGGCAGGCAAATTCTGGACTGATTCGTATTGACCTGTGCGTCAAAGGAAGGTAAAGGTAAAGGTTCCCCTTGACAATTTTTGTCCAGTCGTGTCCAACTCTAGGGGGCGGCGCTCATCCTGCTCTTCAAGCCATAGAGCCAGCGTTTTGTCCGAAGACAATCTTTCCGTGGTCACATGGCCAGTGCGACTTAGACACAGAACGCTGGAAACCTTCCCACCGAGGTGGTCCCTATTTATCTACTCGCATTTGCATGCTTTCGAACCGCTAGGTTGGCGGGAGCTGGGACAAGCAACGGGTGCTCATTCCGTTGCATGGATTCGATCTTACGACTGCCGGATCTTCTGCCCCTGCAGCACAGGCTTCTGCGGTTTAGCCCACAGCGCCACCACGTCAAAGGAAAAAAAATGCAAATCTGAGTGTCCAAAACCCAGGACATTTCCTGTATTCTTTGGCACTGTGGTCACCCCAACAGGAACAGGGACTTTTGATTCCAACAACATACAACTCAGCCTAGTGTCCTGTGTTGACTAAACTATCCAACGCAACTTCTTGCAGTAGCTGCTTATTTACATTTACACCAATTTAGGCGTGAAGACCAGTGCTAATTCTTGAAATAGCATCAGAGCCCTCCAGAGCAACAACTGACTGTTCCTTCCTTCAAGACTCCCTCTTCCATTTGAAACCCCTTTTCCTTTTGCTAGCTATCTTCCATATGGAATTAAAATGCTGCTCACGACCTTTGAGGCCCAAAGGGTGTAGTTAAAGTCACCAGGGCTGCCCAGTTTTTTTTTTAAAAAAATAAATGTTGTGGAACACCTTTTCCAGAGAGTGGGATAGAAAATGGTACTGAATGCATGTGTTTTTATCCACTGTCACAACTGCCTTATTCAGATGACTCCTTGTGCCCCATCCCTAGGAATACTTACAGTGTCATTCACATTATATATACTCTCTCACACACACTGCCCGTCACCTCTAACCTTTATATGAATGAGCCAAAAGTCTAGCAGGGCCAACTGCTTTTGTAAATCAATAAGGTATTTTTGCCTGCTGCTCCCACAGTAAATATTGCCACAGGGAAGCATGGTAATAAATGGGTAAAGTCAATAACCATTAAGCAGGAATGCTCGCACCACCATGCTTTCTTTTTCTGAGCTGAGCATTTCTGTATGACCTGTTACGTCTTGTTCCCTCTCACTGTGCATACACTGCAGGCTGTTCCAGAGGGAAGTTTAAATCACTGTTTTCTCTCAGAGAATTCTGGGGACCCCCGTTCTGTAAGACTGCAGAGGAGTTGTCTACTGTGATTCTCCAATTGGGGTCCCCAGACGTTCTTGGGCTGCAATTCCCAGAAGCCTTCACCACGCGCTATACTGGCCAGGATTTCTGGGAGTTGCAGTCCAAGCACATCTGGGGACCCTAGTTGGAGAGCCACTCGCAGATAATTTTCAATAATCTTACTAACATACTCAAGGAAAACAGATACTGTTCATTATGACATTGCTTCTGGCCACATACTAATTTCTTTCTCTGGCAGTTCCTACCACAACTTCATGCATGCCTCTTCCACAGTAGTCT